GTGATCGCAGTAAAATTCCCTACACAGACATATACATAACACATACAAATATTTCCCACGTGTTGGATATATCAACGGCTAAAGGGAACCCACTGCCACACGCTCGCCACACCCCCAAACATACTTTGTGTATTTTTTTTTTTACTCATAGAAGTTTATGTGATATAATATTCATTCTGGTACCAAAAAATTCGCAAATAAATTCTCTACAAAACAAAAGTATCCCCATCCATTTCGGTTAAAAAATGGAATTTATAGAAATATTTTTTCGATTGACGAGAAAAGTAGGCAGTTATGCGGAATCGTAAGAAAAACCAGTGACGAGTTATCTCTAATATAAAGCGCGAAAGTGTTAATTGGAAGCAGCCCGTGACAGCTGACTAACTCCCAGGTGCCTATTTACTGCTAGGTAACAGGGGCATAGAGTGAAAGAAACTCTGCCCATCGTTTCTCGCCGGTGCCCGGGATTGAACCCGGGACCACAGGATCACGTGTCCAGCGCGCTGTCCACTCGGCAACCGGCTCACCAGGAGCCGGTGGCATACATACATATGTTTGTATGTATGTGTGTATATATATATATATATATATATATATATATATATATATATATATATATATATATATATATATATATATATATATATATATATATATATATATATATATATATATATATATATATATATATATATATATATATATATATATATATATATATATATATATATATATATACACACACACACACACACACACACACGACCTCTCTGCCTACTTACCTGACCGGTTTGCCTATCTTGAGATGATTTCGGGGCTTAGCACCCCTGTGGCCCGGTCTTCGACCAGGCCTCCTTTTTTGTTACACACCCCCAGGAAGCAGCCCGTAGCAGCTGTTTAACTCCCAGGTACCCATTTACTGCTAGATGAACAAAGGGCATCAGGGTGAAAGAAACTCTGCCCATTTGTTTCCGCCTCCACTGGGGATCGAACCCAGAACCCCTGGACTACAAATACTGAATGCTGTCCACCCAGTCATCAGGCCCCCTTGCCTGCTTTCATGAATGATTTATCTGCTCATGTGCATGACCTTCTGTCCGCCTACGTTTCATGGCTCGCATACTTATCTAAATGGCTATACGCCTGCCTAAGAAGAGGCTCCTCTTCCTTAAACAACTGCTGCTGCCACCCATCATCTATCTATTTCACCGAGCCACTGACATTGTATTATACACGTATCCCAGCTGCTAGCTGACTATCTTAGCCCAAAAACACTTCCTTTTCATAATGCACTGAGCCCTCGCAGACAACAAAAAGTAAACCTGAAAGTTAATCATTATTTCTGGTGGCATTAAGATTTAGTTACTGTCATTTAAACACACAACTGGTCATTAAGATTTACATGGCACACTGAAAAAATATCTAATTATTGCATATCCAAAATTGAACACATGCATGGTCATTACATGCAACATAAAAATGGTGCACAAGGAAAACAGAACAATTAACAGACTAGAAAAATACTAAGTCGTATCAGGAGAATACTGGAGAGTGAGAGAGAGATAAATTGAATGAGATCAGCGGGTGTAGTTGTGGCGCCTAAAACAACTCACGGATGTATAGGAGGTCGGGGAGGCAAGGTGTCGGGATGCCCGGTGGCTCTGAAGGGGGGTGGAGTACTCGGAATCCCCCCCGCTTGTGGACATTACAACCTAAGGGGGCATCATCACACATGTTAGCGCACTCATGCCACTGCTAAAGGAGGGCTTCAGGGTTCATCCTTAATCTACGTCATGAAATTAATTTTCAAAGTGAGGGTATTAGTGCCTATTGTATACAACTTTAGCTATTCAGAACTCAAGTCAACCAACAATACAATAGATATTTATAAGCTAATGGAATGATAAAAATGTGCAAATTTTTTCAATTAAAATATTTATCATCAATATGTGCATTTTTTTAAAAATTAGAAAAATGCTGATTTTTTTGTAATAGGCCTATTGACACAAACAAATATGGTGCTGTATACTTGGGATGCTTAAAAGACGTAACAAAAGATAAGGCAATGTATTATTTACATGTGGAATATAAACTAGATTAATCTCGCTGCAGTGTTAGATGTCGCGGAATGTTTACCGATATTATTGTAGCGTCCTAAAACATCAGGGGCCAGAACCCAGCAAGCACTTGTGTGTCAACTTACAGAGCCTGTATGTCTTTCCTCGATAATATTGGCTTAGTCTGTATTTATTAAAACGTTTGTGAGCTTCAAAACACTGAGAGTCATTCTCAATTATTTTTGTTGGTCTCACAGCTCATAATTTTTCATATAAAAACAAATTAAGCCACCATGATAGAGGAAAGATCTAGAGGTTTCATAATTAGACACGTCAATGCTTGCTGAACCTTAGTCCACGTTATTTCTAGTCCAGGTTATTTTTAAAGTGTTTAATGATCGTAAAAAGCGTGTAGCGCAAGGGAAGTCAGGTGAAATATGAAGCATTATTAGAGACGAAGTCCAAACCACCAATGTGTTTACCAAGTACAGTACCAAAGTTTACTGTTAATATCATCTCAGTTTATAAAATAGTTAAACTCGTCTACAGATCTATATATTAGCCTACGAACAGGTTAGTTTTAGTTACAAGCTTAGTGAGTGTTATTAATTACCAGTTATTCTAATATTTTAGAATTACAAGCCAAGAAGGTTATTTATAAAAAAGACACAGTACAGTATACAGAAGTTCCTCATTGCCAACTAAGCCTAAAAAAATTCTTTACAAGCTGAGCAATAATTAAGGCCCACATTTCAAGCTAAGCAGCGAGGTAAAAAGCAGAGCCCAAGATCAACATTCCAATGCACGCTAAGCCAGAGGACGGCAGTTAACGGCAAGCTTACCACCGCAACCACACTAGCTGATCACTGCTCGTGGGTTCTCTTTTATACGGATGTAAATATATTTTTACATATATAGTACGTACATATTTACATTATATGACAAAGTGCTAGGAAGACGGGACACCACAAGCGTAGTGGTGTCCGCATCCTGTAACTATATTTAGGTAATTAATTACTTAGGTAATTACAGGGATTTAAACCATTGCACATTGGTCAGTAGAAACACAACAGTCTGTTAAGTTAGTATCAAACTCAACCCCAACACAGTCTGTTAAGTTAGTATCAAACTCAACCCCAACGTTTACATATACTGTACCTGTATTGGAAGAAAACTTCACCAATAATCATGTATCTATATAAATAAAAATGCAAATGTTCGTTTGTTCAAAATCCCTAATCTCCGAAAGTTCTTCACCGATTGGTTTGAAATTTTCAACTAACGTTCTATTCGTATCCAAGCGGGTTTTTATATACATACTGTATTGATGTCACATCTGTGACAGAAAAAAAGTTTTTTTCTAACTATGTTTTTCATGTGAGAGAAATCTTTGAAACCTCTTTACCGATTGCTTTGAAATTTTGACACGACGATGCATTCGAATAGGCGCATGTTTTTATATACCTACTATATACGTGCCTCACCTGTGACGGGAAAAACATGCTTTTTTTGAAAAACAGCGCCATCTGTTGGACGTACTGTATGAGCAATACACGCTGTAATCTCCCAAAGTTCTTCACCGATTGCTTTGAAATTCTGACAACGTTCCATTCGTTTTTATATACATAATATATAGATGCCACACCTGTGACAGGTAAAAACATATTTAAAAAAAAAAAAAGTCATTTGCTGCACATAATAGCAACACACACTATATTATATATGTTATGAATTCCATTTTAATATTTCCGATTGCATTGATAAATTTAATTTTCATAGATTTAGATTTATTTAAATTTTTATTTAATTATTTTGTGTGACATTGTGTTGGAATTGAACTGTGTTGTTTGCCATACCATTCATTTCGTATGTATAAGTAGAGAGATGCTACACCTGTGACAGGTAAAAACATTCTTTCTTTTTTTAAGAAACAGCACCATCTGTTGCACGTAAGAGCCACACACACTATACTAAATATGTTACGATTCCATTTCAATGTTTCCGATTGCATCGACATAAAATTTTCATACATTTCAATTTATTTTCATTTTGATTTAATTACAGTATTTTGTGTCACATTGCGTTGGAATTGAGCCGTGTTGTTTACCATATCGTTTATTTCATGAGTATAGTTTATTTTTTATTTTTTATTTTTTTATTTTGTTTTTTAATTGTTTTTCAGTGATGGGAACATCAGATCATTTGATGTTCCCAATTTTCTGATGGGAACTTCAGATCATTTGGGAATGCATCGGACAAGGGAGTGGGGAATGGTGGGGAGGACGAGGGGATGGGGGAGTTGGGGATGGTGGGGACGAGGAGACCGGGGAATGGAGAATGGTGGGAAGGACAAGGTGGACAGGAGAGTGGGGGATTGTGCGGAGGACGAGGAAACGGGAGGGGGAAATGGTAGGGAGGACGAGGGGACAGGTTTTAATAATATTGTTTTAATACTGATGTGATTAATATTACAAAGTCAACTGATAAACAACGTGAACAAAGGTCACGTTATACACTTGGCTTTGTTCTCGACTTACAATCGAGGGGTTTGATTCCCAAATGGGAATCAAATCTGTTGCGCACATTTCTTTCCACCTGAGAGGACAAGACATTAGGGTTTGTTTCTTTATAGCCAATGCCTCTGTCTACCTAGCAGTAACTATGTACCGAGGAGTCAATCAACTGTTGTGGCATGCAACAGTCTGGGGGGAGGGGCCAGGGCCCCTTGATGAGCCAAACAGGCTTCCTGTACCAAGCAACAGGAGATCACACAGTATATATACAACATAATATTCAAGTTACATCAATTCTTGACTGGATGAAGACCTTCAATCATGTGGACTGGTCAGTACAGCAATGGCCTTGCTTCTTGCAGGCCGGCACTCGAGCCTTTGTGGTCCAGCTGTTTGGGCCCCCCATTTCTTCCCTCCACCCTATTCTAGCTCCTTATCATCATATCCCTTCCAAGTGCTATAAAGTTGAACTAAGCACTTTTTCGTTCCCCAGCTCATAGTCTGTCTGGTGTCCCTTCTAAGTGCTACATGGTCATACTAACTTAGCACTTTCTTTAAATACCGTAATTACAGTACATTCTCCAACTCTTAGTATGTCTTATATCCCTTTCTAGTACTATATAGTCGTATACTGGCTTAGCACTTGCTCCTGATAATCACCTTACCGTAACGTAGAAACATGAGCCTAACATGTACAGTCCTGAACTGTACATGCACTGGACTGTATGTACAGTCCAGTGAATGTACTGCACATACAGTACAATTTATGTGTAGTACAGTATTAAATATACAGTACATGGTATAGTATACTGTACATATACACTATACAGTACCTTGCAGAACTTATTCTATATGCACTGTACATATACACTATACAGTACCTTGCAGAACTTATTCTATATGCACTGTACATGATTATACAGTATATGCATAACACCCAGATCAATGCCTCCCGACATTTTCTGGTGGTAGAGGAACTAGCAAACCAACTCAGTGACCATCTCCCTTAATTTACACACACACACACACACGTCTCAAGCAGCCTACTGAGAGCAGTGACGTCGCTTGATGAATGTAGAACAGCTCATCAAGGCTACTAGCAAGACCACCACCACCACCACCACCAAAACCACAACCTATTAGTCTCCATGCGATCAGTGAAGGAGACGGCAGTTAAAATTTATATATATCTCCATTTGCTCTTGTTCACTATTTTTTTTTGTGTACAGTATTAATTTAAACCAAGATTTCTCACATTGCTAAAAGTATTTTTCTCACATTACAATTTTGCCATGGAAAAATTCACCCAAGAACCCAGTTTACTGACAGCTCCTCCCGAGGCAGAATCTGTCAATCAAAATCCCAGAAGGTGGCGTCACATAATTATGTACACACATTACAGTAGGTAGAATAGAACAAGGTGAATCTAGACGAGACTTAAATACAGTAGTATTGTGTATTAGTATTGTATACAGAACTCTTATACAACTTAATATTATATAAAATTATATAATTATAGTTCAGAATATAAACTTTAAATTACAGTACAGTATATATAAATATAAAATGATACTGTATATCTAACTACTGTACAGTACTATAAGATTATATCACAATACTACTGAAAGTAAAAATATAAAATAAATGAGTTACATAAAATATAATGCAATACAAGATTACAAAATATGAATTATGGTATAGTACAGCACCAGACACATCTGTCATCAAAGGGGACAGATATAACCTTCACCATTGCAAACATTATTACAAATACAGAATCTACAAATAAATCACACACACACACACACACACAGTACACGGTTGGAACAAGTGAGAAGGTGGTGGAGGTCAAAACCGCCAGTAGTTTCAAAGCGTTATACGACAAAGAGTACTGGGAAGACGGGACACCACGAATGTAGCTCTCATCCTGTAACTACACTTAGGTAATTACACACACTATCATAAAATTATTTTCAACAATTCTTTTTTATGAACTAACTCGCTCATTATCTAACATTATGCAGGAAACGCAGTGTGTAATAAGTGGCTTCATAAAATATACAAACACAGTACTGTAATAAGTCAGTAACCTATGTAATCTGATCCCTTTGTTTATCTTATAAAGCATTATTACTAAATAAC